AAATAAATAAATAAAATTAAACAAACAAACAAACGCGACAGAAACCCAGTTCATACTGGTTTAAGCTAAACAAACCAAATTATAGCTTATATACCTAAACAGTCCTAGGGCAGCTGGATCCAGATACTCTAACAATGTGCTCCAGAACCTTCAGCCCCCAGCTCTGCTTTCCTCTGTGTTGCTCTCATTCTCAGGCAGGTTTTCTCCATTAGGCGGCAAATTGGCCACCAATAGTGCCAGCCTCACGTCCTACTAACTTAGCAACCCTAGTGGAAAAAGAGCTTGTTTGTCCCTGTGATTTCTTCTTTTTTTCCCCCTCTTTTTAGCTAAAATTTGTCAAGAAATATCCCTGTGATTTTTGCAAATGCTTGGGGAGGGCTTTGATTGGCTTGGCTTGGGTCACATGCATGTCCCTGAACCAATTACTGTTCTCTCAGAGAGGGGGCGCTCTGCCCAGCCTGGTGCGTGCGCCTTCCCTTCAAGATGATGGGGGCCGGGGGGCGGGAGGTGAGCCTCAGTCAAACCTCGTGTCCTGAACATGAGGGAGCAGTTGTTCTCCTAAGGAAAATCAAGGTGCTGGTACCAGGAGGAGGAGGAATGGATGCTGAGCAGATAGCACAACAGATGGTCATGGAAGTGGGGTTGCCAGATTTAGCAAATAAAAATACAGGACATCCAGTTAAATTTGAATTTCAGATAAATAATGAAAAAATTCATATATGTCCCAAATATTGCATGGGACATACTTTACTAAAAAATTATTCCATATGTATCTGAAATTCAAATTTAGGCTGAGTGTGGTGGCTTACGCGCCTGTTATCTGAGCACTTTGGGAGGCTGAAGTGGAAGGATCGCTTGAGGCAAGGAGTTTGAGACCAGTATGGACAACTAAGCAAGACCCCATCTCTAAAAAAAATAAAGGTTAACTGGGTATTTTGTATTTTTATTATTTGCTAAATCTGGCAACCTTATGTGAAAGGAATTAATCAACAAACATTTAATGAGCACCTACTAAGTCCCTGAAACGACCTACGGTCCTTATTGGAGTCCAATAGAACTATTATAAAGAAGATGGGACCAGTTTGCACTACAGCAAAACAGAAGGCTTCATGGGAGAGGTGATATTTGAGCTGGGCCTGGTGGTATGGCTTGAATAGATGAAGGAGGAAAGACATGCCTGTTAGAAGAACATTAGCCAGCACCCAGAAGGGGGACTAGGTATGATATGTGAGGGACAGAGGTCTGACCATAGTGGAGAGTCAATTTACAGAGCAGTGGAAGAGCATGAGGGGGCAGGAAGGGGAGAGCGTGGAAGGTTAAAGCCAGACAGGAATTTGGACTTGCCAAATGTAGCTACACCTGTGCTATTCAAAATAATGGTCACCTGCTACATGTGGCTGTTGAGTACTTGAAATGTGGCTAGTGTGACTGAGAAACTGAATTTTTAATTGTATTTAAAAACTGATATTGGCTGGGCATGGTGGCTCATGCCTGTAATCCTAGCACTCTGGGAGGCCGAGGCGGGAGGACTGCTTGAGGCCAGGAGTTCAAGACCAGCCTGAACAAGAGCGAGACCCCGTCTCTACTAAAAATACAAAAATTAGCCGGGCACTGTGGCACATGCCTGCAGTCCCAGTTATGTGGGAGACTGAGGCAGGAGGATCGCTAGAGCCCAAGAATTTGAGGTTGCAGTGAGCTATGATGATGCCACTGCACTCTAGCCTGGGCAACAGAGTAAGACCCTGTCAAATAAATAAATAAATAACTGATTCTAAATGCAACTTTATTGTTTTGGTAGGACTACATATCACTTTTTAGCATTGCAAATTTAGCACCAAATCGAGGTGCACTATAATTGGAAAATACACACCACATTTCAAAGACTTAATACAAAAATACTATGAAATATCTCCATAGTAATTTTTAATATTGCTTACATGTTGAGATATTTTGGATTTATTAGGTTAAATAAAATATATTATTAAAATTGATGTCACCTGTTTCTTTTTTTTGTTTTACTTTGTTTTTTAGAGACAAGATCTCACTCTGTAGCCCAGACTGGAATGCAGTGGGATGATCGCAGCTCAGTGCAGCCTTGAACTCCTGGGCTCAGGCAATCCTCCAGCCTCAGCCTCCCAAGAGGCTGGGATTACAGACATGTGCCACAAAGTCAGGGCTAATTTTTTTATTTTTTTAAATTTTTGTAGAGGTGGGGTCTTGCTATATTGCCCAGACTAGTCTCAAACTCCTGGCCCCAAGTGATCCTCCCACCTTGGCTTCCCAAAGTGCTGGGATTGCAGATGTGAACCACTGTGCTCAGCCTTCACCTGTTTCTTTTTTAATGCTGCTACCAGAAAACTTAAAATTATATATGTGGCTTGGACAGTGCTGAGCAGAGAGGAGGGTAGGAACAAAATGGAGACAGTGTTTGCAGATGGACGGTCTTGACAGCAGTGTGCAGGATGGATTTTGTTAGGGAGGAAACCGGAGGGAGAGAGTCCAGTTTAAGATTACCAACCTATGGGGTTGATGGGACACAGCTGAAAATTTGACCAATTTGCCATTAATTTAACCCAGCCAATCAAGGTCTACCACCTTCAACCACCTTCAACCTTCAATCTTCAACCGGAACTCCTTCAACCCAATTTTTCTCTAAACCTGGGGATTATGCGTTTGGGATTGCCTACAGGGCAAATTCTCTACAGCCGCTACAGCCAGGCTTCGGGATCCTAGCCTCCCAGTCTCCTTCTTCTTTCTTCTCCCTTGACCCCGTTCTCAGTTCCCCTGGCCGTCTAGCCTGATATTGGTCTTACCACTTCTTCCACAGAGGTTCTCTGGACAGTCCAAGGCTCGATGCATCGAGAGCCTCCTCCAAGCGATCCACTTTCCTCAGCCACTGTCAGATGATATTCGGGCTGCTCCCATTTCCTGCCATGTGCGGCTTGCACATGAGAAGGATCAGGTATCCTGCCCACTGCTGGCCATTCAACAAACACTTACTTACTGTATTTTCAATGTGTCAGGAAATTTGCTTGGCATTGGGTTTATAAAGCTCAGTGACATTCTTCCCACAATGAATTCCCCATTCATGGGGAAGACATGACTGTGGTCACAATGGTGTGAAAAAAGGTACTACAGTCACACAGGAAAGGGGTCTTCCGTTCTGCCTAGTAGGGGAGTCAGGAAAGAGAGGGAGAAGAGGTCTTTGGACTGGGTTTTGAAGGATGAATAGGAGTTTTCTGAGTTGGGGTGAAGGGTTCTCTCTGCCCTTGACCCACTTCATTACTACTCTCTAGTCTTGATAATGTCCTTCTATTCTTGCATCTAATACGATGGCTCCTGATTCCCACACCAGAATGCTTTAGCACTTCCGGGTTCTTCCTCAGATGACTGCACTTAGTCAGGCTTCAGTTCTCCCTGCCTTTTCCCCACAGGTGATCCCTGTAGCCTTGCTGAGCCTCCTATTCCGGTGCTCTATCACTGAAGCTCAGGCACACCTGGCTGCAGCTCCTTCTGTCTGTGAGGCTGTCAGGAGGGCCCTCGCCGGGCCTGGTCAGAAGCGCAGTGCGGACCCTGTCAAGACCCTGGAGCCTGCTGTGCAGTGAACCAGTTTTTCTGGGTGTGTGAAAGGGGCCCAGCCCAGCCCAAGGGGACTTGTACCAGCAGCACAAGTTGTGGGAGAAAGAGGCCCAGTTTCCAGGGGCACCAGCAGCCCAGGGTGGGGAGGATTCTTATTCTTGACCTAGTGGTTTCTACTATCATTGGCTTATTTTCATTTCAGAAATAAAACTAAATGTCTTGTGTTGGAAACTTAACCTTCCACAATCAGTAAATCAGACTCAGTAGATCAGAGGTGTGACAGGATGGGTGGCGTGGGTTGGTCCCAACAGCAGATTCGTTTCTTTAATTCTCCCCCTGACTGCATTTCACTGGCCCCTGACACAAACTTTATTCCAGGATCGCTATGCCTCTATCTCCAACGCACAGGCACGCATGCACATGTACACACACACAAACAAGGAGAGGTGGGGACTTTTAGAAAATTTCAGGGAAACAGGGAATAAGTCGTGTCCCTAACATAGGACACCCAGAAAAAGGCAATCCCAATGAGACATGACAAGATCCTTATCACCGGACCAATGCTACATCCATAATCAGACCATGAAGTGAGAGTTGCATGCCCTGCCCCATGTTTGTAAGATGCACAGAAGGAGCTCTGGGGGTGCTGAACACCCTTCGGTGGTGGAACCCAACAAACACTAGAAAGCCCAGTCTGTATATTTTAGACCTCAGCTGTCCCTCGTTCACCCCAGATCCATGCCAGCTCTTTAGGGCCTGTGACACACGGCTCTGACAGTAGAGAGCTGCTTCCCCCTTGTGCCTGAGAAACACCCAGGAACACTCCTGTGGGGGTAAAACTCTTTGAAAATAATGTCACTGAAACTTTCAGGCAGAAGGGTGACTGCTAAAGAGCCAGATTTTGGTTTTATGAGGATAATCAATCTTTTTAGGGTAGCCCTAAGGCCCCTGTATGCATCTGTGGGTCTCACATAGAGATCTGAGTTCTGTTTTCCTGTTCTACATCTTTGCATTGGTGCCTTGGATCTTTCACCAGCTCCCCTGTCCCCAAACACCGCTCTCACAGTGCCTTCTGAGTGTCACCCCTTTCATCCTCCGCAAACACCTCTACAACTCAAGATGACTGAAGTTAGGAAAGTATTCTGCAAAGGCCCCCTGCCTGTCTTTACCCACAACTCTCTCCCATATGCTTTCATTGGGTTAATTCATCTCTCAGCTTGGCATAATGAACAGTGTCAAGTCCAAGAAGATACCCGGCTTTCTAGGGCCCAAAAGGACAGAGCACCCCTTGATCCTGTTGATGATGCCTCCACGTTCAGTAGTCCCACTCCCACATGTGGATGGGACATGGTGCAGGGTTAGGATTCTCCAAGGCTGGTTGCAGGAGGACTCTAGAAGCCCGGAGTCCTTTTTCTTGTCAAAAACTTGGATGGTACCAAGACATCAAGTGAATTCAACGTAGTTGGACACGATATTCGGGTATTGTGAACAAGGTGCAATACTGCTCAGCCTTAGGGTACATTAGAGGCTAGACATGCTCTGGCATTGCAGAAGAGACAAAGATAACTAAGATCTGATCTCTGCCCCCTAGAAATTTACAAGTACATATGAGCAATTCTAACACAAGACAGAATGGAAGTGGATTGGAACAGCAGGGTAAGTACAGAGAGCTGCCAGAAACAGCTCCCTGTTTTTGGAGATTACAGGGTAGGCCAAGAATCAAGGGAAATTTTGGAAGAAAGGAGGTTGGAGTTGGGTAAAGGAATAGCCAAAAAAATCCTGAGAATATCTGGAGACTTGCACTGGTTTGTGGATCTGATATCAGAGAGTCAGGTCATTGTCAGTGGAATCTGTGCTCTAAGGAAGTTCAAAGATTTTTTAGAACTCTCCAAAGACAAATGGTAGTGTGACAACTTTTTACCATTTTTTTGGAGAAAGTAAACATCTGAGGGCAAAAATAGCTGCAGAGTAATCCATTATTAACACAAGGTAGTAATTATGCCAAAATGACTAAAGTGCCTAGCCCAGAAGACTAGACTGGATTGTGGAAGATGAAGGAAACGATTTCCTGGTATACCTATTTGTTAGATCAAAAGCAAGAGGGAGGTGGGCACATTTGTAGTCCCAGCTACTTGGGAAGCTGTGGTGGGAGGATCATTTGAGCCCAGGACTCAGGAGTTTGAGACCAGCCTGGGCAACATCGCCAGACCCCATCTTAAAAAAAAGCAGGGGGAATGGAGGGCATGGGGCAGAAGATATGTGAAGATTGCACATACTTTAAGCTTAGTAGATAAAAAATGGAACTCATGATCTCTCCTCCCAATCAGTGAGCTATTCTTTTTATAATTAGGTGGTCTTGAATATTAGACAGACTAGGGGCCAGATCTTGAATATCAGATAGGCTGTAAGGTTGAAGGAAGATGTTGATGTTGGGATCAGATAAGAAGTGGAGGGGTCTGAACCTGGCTCCAGGGATGGGCTCTACAAAACACAGCAAAATGCATATGATCCAATCTAAACTCAGGCACGTTTTGGGTAGGTGGCTCAAATCCTAGGACTGAGAAGACAAGCACTGCAGCTAGGTGGTGCAAAATGCTTCCATCCTGGGAGAGACAAGAATTGGGTCATTTTTAAGCTAGTGACTGGGGTGCTATGGAGTGGGAAAAAGAGACAGGAAGAGGAGCCCTGGAGCATCTTCTAGTGCCAGAAAGCAAGGAATTGCTCAAAAACTCCACAATGATGGGGAGGGAGTATATCAAAGAGACACAGGAGCCAACGTGAAAGAGCTCCTAAAGTTGGAACAATTTGAGCAACAAAATATATAACATAATATTGGACTGTAACACAAAATGCAAAAAAAATATACATGAATTCATACCAATATAAATAAATGATTGAATAAATAAAGCATGGAGGAAAGACAAATCTTCCCTATACAATAATTCTAAATAATATATGTACATATACCCCCCTCCAGGAAATGGACTTTCATCCCTCCTCAATCCCCCATACCTTCAATGTGATTTAGGGGCTCTCTTGCAAGGAATGGAGTATGGAAAGAGGAAAATAGTTGACTTCACAGTGAAGAAACCTGGCAAGTCCTACCCTAACCAAGTAATGAAGGTTAGCACCACCAACTGATATCATGTACCTCTTGAAATGATGTAATGAGAAGGGCATGTAACCTCTGTGGTATTCTTCCTCCAAACACTTAACCTCAGTCTAAGCATAAGGAAAACATCACAGAAACCTAAATTTAGGGACATCTTGCAAAATACCTGCCCAGTACTCCTTAAAATTATCAATGTCATGGAAAACACAGAAAGACTGAAAAACTGTCAGACCAGAGGAGGCTCAGAAGGCATGACTAAATGCAACGTGGTACCCTTGGTTGGATCCTGGAGAGAAAACGGCAGTAGTGGGAAAACTGGTGAAATCCAAATGAAGTCTGGAGTTGAGTTCATAGTAAATGTACCAATGTTAATCTCATATTTGACAAATGTACCAAAGTTACATAAAATGTTAGGTGAAACTGGGTGAAGGGAATATAGGAACTTGCTATAGTATCTTTGCAACTTTTCTGTAAATCTAAAATTATTCAAAAATAAAAATTTTATTTAAAAAATAAAATTAAAATTCCTAACAACAATAACATATATTTCGTAAGGGGTAAGGGGTAAATGGAATTAAAATATTCTAAGGGCCTTGACTTATCTATAAAGAGGATAAAGCTTTAATTAATTAAAGACTTTGATAAGGTAAGTGTACATATCACATTTTAAAAGATATCTACTGAAAATGGGGTTGGCAACCTTTTTCTGCAAAGGAATAGATAGTAAATATTGCAGTCTTTGCAGGCCCTATGGCCTTGGTCATAACTATCCTGCTGTTGTAGCATGAAAGCAGCCATAGACAGTATGTAAAATGAGTGTGGCTGTGTTCCAATAAATTGTTATTTGCAATAACAGCAGCAGGCTGGATTTAGTCTACAGGCCATAGTTTGTCAACTCCTGCACTAAAAGAACAAAAAGAGAAAGTATAACTTCCAACTAGGAAAGGGGAAGATGGAATAATTAAAAAATACTTAGTCATCTCATTAAGAGGCAATAAAGGAGAGAAAAAGAAACATAAAACAGGACAAAATAGGAAGTAAAAAGTAAGGGTAGATTTTGGCCCTAATACTTTCGTGATTACATTAAATGTAAATGGAATACATGCGCCAATTAACATCTTTTTGTTTTAGATGCATCACTTGCAAATAGCACATATATGGATTTTGTTTATTTTGTATCCAGTATTAAAACAAAAGGCTATAGAAATGTTGAAAATAAAAGAATGGAAAAGATATACTGTGCAAATACCAATTAAAAGAAAATTGCTATGGGAATATTAACGCAGACAAAATAAGGGAAAGGTATTATTAGAGATGAAGAAGGTCTTCATAGTGATAAGATGTTTAATTTGCCAGGAATGATTATGATTTTAAATAACAATTAAGAATATATAAAGCAGGCCGGGCGCGGT